GGCCTAGGAGGAGGGGAAGGAGAGGGGGCTGTGGACAAGATGTATTGTATGAGAGAAGAATAAAGGAGGGAAACACTGTCCTGCTATAGAAGCAGGGCACAAGCTGCTTCTATAGCCAAGTACCTACATGATTTAATCCAGTTTTAGGAAAGGGACTTTACAGTGAGCAGTTGAGTCTGGGTTAAGGAATTAACCACTAATAGGCCATAAATTCTACCCACTATTGTACAGTTAATAAGCTGAGCTCAGATTTTTTTTATTAAAGATTTATTTATTTATTTTGTATACAGCATGTATGACTACAGGTCAGAAGAGGACACCAGATCTCATTACAGATGGTTGTGAGCCACCATGTGGTTGCTGGGAATTGAACTCAGGACCTCTGGAAGAGCAGTCAGTGCTCTTAACCTCTGAGCCATCTCTCCAGCCCCACTGAGTTCAGATTTTTAAGAACCAGTCCCCAGTGGGGGTCAACAGTAGCTACAAAGCAAGCCATGGCTTCGCCTTTCCCAGGCCAGTTAGTTAGCACGCAGTCACTGTGAGCTGTGGATGAATAGCATATGCAGGGAACTCTTTCTCTGCACATCTCTGGAGGTGGGGGTTCCACACATAGCCTAAGAATCCGCTGTGGGTGGGGAGCTCTCAGAACAGAGCCAGAGAAGTGGGCTGGGGTGGGGCTAGACGTGAGGCCAGGCTCTGAGGGAGGGAAGATGGGCATAGCATTACCAAAGGAGGAGCCCCAGAGCTCTGGGGTCTGCAGCCCAGAGGGAGTGGCTGTACCCAGCTCACAGGAGGAGTGTGCTCCCTGGCAGCAGGGCTCTGGCAGTTTCTACACTTTCAATATCAGATCTGGGAAGGGACATTGGCATTGCCTCCATCCCTAGCCAGAGCCTAGATGAACTGGGATGGATGGAGGGCGGGACTTCCAGCTTGATGTTTCCCATTTCTGCAACTATTAAATATATGCTTTAAATAAATAGAGGATGCTCTCGGTTCGCTTGCCAACCTCTGCCTGACGCCCCATCCCTCTAATCCACCCCACTTATCCCAGATATGGCCACTCACTGTCCCAGGTTCAGATCTCTCTCAATAAGACTCAATACCAAGGGCCAGAAACTGAGGAGGGTACTGTCTGGGGACACAGCTCAGAATCACAGGACACTGAGCAATGGGGACGCTGCTCTGCCACTGCTCTCTGGACCCAGGATCTGAAGACTTTTGAGTGGAAGAGACTTCTCCCAGGACAGAAATTGGGTGGAGGGCACCACTGTCATAAGCCTAGAGCCTTGGCATGGTGAGAAGTCAAATCTCTGCTCGTAGAAACTGGACCTCCAAGACTGCTGTATGAGTGTTGGGGGCAGATGGGAAGGGGCGTGGCCACCTTGACTCCGCCCTCTTCTTTGCTGTCCATTCTGATGTTCCCTGCTCTACTCTCCTGGGGTCTGCACAGCAGCCAAACACATTCTCAGAAGCAGAAAAGAAACTGCAGACCTGCTTCCCTGCAACTTCTGGCCAGGGCAGACCTGGTGTTCATCTTCAGGGGAGGGGAGGGACTCTCCAAGGTCTTCCTCTTAGAATGACCAGCCCTAGCCCCAGTTAAAGCCTGCCTCCATCTGGGTTTCATCTCAGTCCTCAGAACGGCTTCCCCCCGCCCCCCTGAACTCTGTAAAACTATTCCCAACTGGCTCCTGCTTTCATTTTTACACTAATTGCTTTGCTTGAGCCAAACCTGCACTAGGTGACGTCATTTCTTGAGACAATGACGGAGGACGACTGGGGAAAACTTTGATTCAGGGTCATCAAAAACCTTCCTCCATCCCAAACCAGAACCATCCGTCTAATTTAGGAAGCCTACACTTCACCCTAGCCAGAGCCCCTTTGACCTACCGAGTTCTGTAAGTCTTGAACTTGAGCACTGGTCCAACTGTTCAAGGTCATTGGGATTTTAGTAATACTTTAGCAAGCTGCTGCTATCTCAAGTCTCTGTTGAGTACTAGATTCCTCCCTCCTACACACCTACATGGGTGGTGGCCGATGAGTCTTCCACTTTTAGAGCCAAGGGCCAACAAGAGATGGGGTACCTCTCAATTTCCTAGGAGGAGCCATAAAGCACTCACTCAGCTAGCATCCACCCTTCAGGATCTCAGTTTCTAATATGGCCAAAGAGCTCTCCTTAGGAACTAAAACAAAGAGAACCCAGGGCCTCCAGCTGCTTTGTTCCATTCTTCTTCCAGTATACGTCTTTGTATGATCAACCCTTCTTAGCTTACTAGTTTCACAGGAGAATGGATGCTGTCTTTCGTTATCTCTCTGGGACTAACAGTTAACCACACTCATATTTTTGAGAGAAGTCTTTGGAAATAACCATACCATTAGCTGGGCTTCAGATATTGCTCAATTGCAGAGTACTTGTTTGCCATTTTAATCCCCACAACACACCACACACACAGACACAGACACACAGACACACAGACACAGACACACACACACACACACACACACACACACACACACACACACACACACACACTGATGACCTCTTATACACAAGCATTCTTCTAAGAGATTTGCCTCTCCTCAAGCATCACAATAAGCCTGTCAGGAAGACACAGTTGGCCCCACATCACAAATGGGAAGACACAAAGACTTTGTCCCCATTTACACTGTGTTGTGTGGGAGCTGTCCCCTGGGTATGGCGTGGATGGCAGATGCCCTCTTGAAGCAGCTGTGACTACCTGCAGGACACCTGCATAAAGTGGCTGTCTGCCCTGGAGGGACAGGGGCTCACCAGGCTGGTCCCTTTCCAAGGTTTGTATTTATACAACTAATAGCTGCTAAGTGGGAGAAGCCACAAAAGGGGTGCCTTCCTAGGCAGTTACAGTTGTGGAGAGAAAAATTCTTCATTATTTATTGTATGTGTTTGAGTATCTTTGCCTTTGTGTATGTCTATGCACCATGCGCACCTGGTTTCAGGAGAGAGCATGGGATCCCCTGGAACTGGAGTTACAGATGGTCATGAGCTGCTGTGTGGGTGCTGGGAGTTGGACCCAGATCCTCTGGAAGAGCAGCCAGTTCTTCTAACCTATAAGCCATCTCTCCACCCCCCACGATTTTTTTTTAAGGGCTCAGCTTTGTCTATGTTGGTCCAGCCCCATAAGTAACCCAGTTAAACTCTTTGTTTAGCAAGCCACACAACAGTCTGTACGTGTTGGAGCTGGAATAAGCAGATGGGCCAGAAACTTCATGATCACAGTACATTGTCAAGAAACCTTACAGAGTAAACCCTCCTCGTTTCACTGAGTCTGGCCTGGCAGGGTGTGGAAATGATGGACAGGAGAAGGCAGGTGCTCATGGAGACATCTAAGGAAAGTGAGGAGGCTGGTGGCTGGTGGGCACGGTCCCAGGTTCCAGGAGTGGGGTAAGCAGACAGGGCTAAACAAGTGTACCCAGCCTGGACTGGAGAAGCTGGGAATAAGTTGTTCCTATTAAAACCAGGGCATAGGCCTGGGAGATGTGTCAGTGGGTCGGGATGCTGGCAGGAAGGTCTAATGATCTGAGTTCGTGCCTGGATCTCACAAGGGTGTCCTTTGGCCTCTACACAGACGTAGTGGCATGAGTGTAGCCGAGCTCACACGCACACACTCACACAAAATAGTAAATAAAATTTAAAACTTGGGCCTTAAAGGATAGAATAGGAGATGGGTTAAGCTGACAGAACCCGACACCCAATCCATTCTATAAGCTTATTTATTTATTTTTTCTTACTTAGAGATAATCACTTGTCATACTTCATTTTCCCAGAGACATCCTAGTAAGGAAAAAATGCAGGGGTTATTCCTTACACCCTGAGAAGGCAACTTAATTTCTTGCCAGCATACTCTGTGGATGTTTGGGGTACTGGTTATGTGTGTCAGAGGTCTCAGATCCCACAGGGCAAGGACTGGATCCTGGATCACTCCTGTGTCAGTCTCCAGGTAGTTAACTTGGAGTAGTTTCTGCACTCAAGAGCATTCCAGGAATAGAGCTGAGACAGAGGAGAGGCCATTGCCACAGATGTGGCTTTCTGCCTTGCTCTTGGTAAAGCCAAATCTTAATCACAGGAGATCCCATTTGCCTTCCAAGTCTCCCGGTGAAGTAAGGACCCTATCGAAGAGGAAAAGATACTGGAGACCCCCCACAATATGCTAAGGAGCCAGGGACAGCAGCTGGTGGGTGCTAAAGCCTCCAAGCTGCAAGGTCCCTTTGCAAACTGGGCCAGGACTGAAAAGGAAGACGCAGTCATGGGGCAGGGCGATGTAGTGGCTGCCCAGGAAGGGACTCCTGAACTCCCCTTATCCCAGGACTTAGATCTCAGGAGCAGCTGCACTTGGCTGAGACAGGGGCATTGCTTCGCTGCTCCACAGCCAGCTCCACCAATCCTAATGTTTAAAACATTCCAGTAAAGAATACATCTTTCCAGCGCCACAGGGAGCTCCCTGACTCCTTCTGCTACCCCGTACCCTGCTTCTGGTTTGGGGGACGCAGTGCTAGTTAGGGAGAAGAGAGGGTCCACAGTCAGGAGGAAAGAGTCTTTGCGCAAATCTTCGCGAATTAATACTACCCCTTTGGGTGAGGGCTGGCACCAGGCCGGTGATCTGAGAGAGTCTGAGGCCAAGGCCACCTAAAAGGGAAGGAGTTTGGGGGTGCTCTGGTCCCACCTTAGAAGGTGGTGTACCTGCTTCCTACTGGGTCAAAGTAGCAAGGGCCGCTGGCTATTAACGAATAAGTGGAGACCCAGGCAGCTGAACTTTAGGCCACTGACCTCACACAGCCTGGAAAGGCGATTCCCCCTGGCTGTGGTGTTCTCAGAATTTGCCCTTGTTCCCCTGTCCTCCATCCCCCACTCTCGGGTCCGCCAGGTCCAAGACAGTATCGTCCCCCAGATCCCTACCTTACCCCTCACGCTGTAGTCGGTGAGCACGCTTAGCCGAGCAATAAACCAATCTTTAATTTTCCTCCAAAATACTTTAAACTAAGTTTACAAACAGTTTCTTCAACTCTATATTTCTGACTCCCCTTTCTTTTCCGTCGACAACATCCTAGGTCAAGATCCTTGGTCCCTCCCGGGGGTAGGTGTTGATGCTCATGGGAGCAGCTAGGAGCAGTGTGTTCAGCGGGACCCGCAACTCGTCTCTCTGGTAGCCCGGTTGGGGTTCCGTTGGCCTTTCTTGGAGCGCCTGGAGAAGGCGCGAGTGTCCCCGCCCAAGGCTGGCACTTGGCTGGCGGCAGGAGGACTAGCAAAGAGAGCGTGGCCACCGGGCTGGGTGCGCCGGGCTCGCAGCACGCTCCGCAGCGCCTCTAGAGGGCTTGCCAGGGCTTCCCGATGGCCTGGATGTGCTCCTTGGCCTTCAGGCGCAGCGCGGCGATGCTGCTGTTGCGAGGGTACGCCTCTTCCAGCGAGAACTTGTCCCCGAATCCAGGCGCGCACGGGTACGCGGGCGGCGGCCCGAGCTGCTGCAGACCCGGGCCCAGGGGCGCCGAGTTCAGAAAGGGTGGCGGTGGCGTGTAGCTGGCCGGGAGGCCCTGCGCCGGGGGCCCGAAGCCCGGCAGGCTCTGCAGCGCTGTGGCGCCTCCCCCCGGCAGCGGCGGCCCGAGCCACGGCTCCAGCGGCAGGGCGCTCCCCGGTGGTCCGCTACCGCTGCCCGGGCCGGTCCCCAGCGGGGCCAGAGCAGAGGAAGGCGGGGAGCGGCTGAAGGAGAGGAGGGGCGAGTCCTGCAGCTTCATGGACGACACTTCCAGTTTCTCCTGCCGCCTCCACTTAGCCCGTCGGTTCTGGAACCACACCTGCCAGAAGAAGCGCAGAGCCTTTCAGGCTAGGGCGAAGCGAAGTCCCCACCCTGGGCAAGCCTGCCAGCCTGATCCCACCCGTACCCCCCAAATAATCCTGGGACTGGAGTTGTCCTCTGCTAGAAGGGCTCAGAAGTTCCTTTACCTCCTTGGTCTCTCCTCACTCTCGCCTGGTACTCCAAGCCTCTCTTTTACATATGCTCCCCTTTTTGTGGCCATTCTCTCCGGCCCCCAGCTCTCTCTTTGTCGCACCCCATTCCTCCAAAGCACCCCCCCCCCGATCTCCTAGATCTCTCACTTTTGGTTGTGGTGGTTTCTGTGAATTTAACTCCGCAGCTAGACCGTAGGACTTTGAAACCAGGTTTCTGGGGGCCCCTTCGGTTGGCAGCCCCTTCTGACGCTTCAATTTGGGATCTCGCTTCTGCTCTGTATTGTGTAGCTCTCAATGGCTGCTTCAGCCTGCCTGTTTTTACCTATCCCCTTTCTCTACTACAAACACAGGCATACCACACACCCGCAGCTCCCATGTTAAAACGCAAGCGTATCCAGCAGGGGCAGGTTTCTTTTGACCGTGTGTGTATTTCCGTCGCTGCTCTGACAACTTCTCGGCTTTATTGAATTAGTGCCTCTTTAGTATGTCTGAGGTTCCTATGGATTACTCTCCAAGATTACATTTGTTCACGTGTATTATATCTGTGTTCATATTACAGAGTTTTTGCCATTCCCCCCCCCATACATTGGCTCACTGTTCTGTACAGAGACTTTTCTTTCTTTCTTTCTTTCTTTCTTTCTTTCTTTCTTTCTTTCTTTCTTTCTTTCTTTCTTTTTCACTTAGGGAAAAGTCACACTATGGTTCCTCGCACTGGATCCTCCACTACTGGGTTGATACGAGCATGAAGGATGCCATAGTAATGTTTTACCACCAAATTCCACTCGCCTACAAAACAGAATCTTTTTTTTTTTTTTAAGTGCAGACTGTGAGAGAACGTTGGACAAACTGGTGCACTCAGGATGGGGTTTGTGAAAAGAACGTAGCGGCCTGGGCCAGTGGGGAAAGTGGTATAAACAGGAGAGCAGAGAAGGTGAAAACCCAGCCCCTGAGTGGAAGAGGGCCAAGTGTGTGTGACCCTTGAATTAGGAAGAAAAAGAGAACAAAATATAAGTATCTCCACCCCAGGCACCAGCCACCAGGAAACGTTAGCGGTTTGCCTAGAGTAGAAAAAAAAGAGAAAGATTCTCCTGGGGGGAAGGTGGCCCTGCACATCTTGAACTTCCCTGCTCTATCCCTACAAAATTACTCACAGTCCTGGATCCAGTTTCTAAGGTTGTGTGGTGGAGACGCTCCTAGTCCCCATCACACCGTCTGATGATCTACGGATGTGGGGAGAGAAGTTATATGCTAGTCCCAGGAAAGCTACAGACCCTGCTCTCCAGAATCCCGTAAGTCAGTGGGATGGTAAAACCATTGAACAAGAGGGATCTAGGCAAGCTTGGAGCGAAGGGAGCCCAGGCAACTGTCCGTAGGACACTGGGACAGATGACTTTTTCTCTGTCTTCGTCTTCCCTGTCCTCTCTCTGTGTACCTATTCCCCTTCCCTGACATCAAGTGCTGACATTTCCAACGTTCAATGAAAACTATAGATTTACAGTGCAGAACTACGAGAAACCGAACTAAATGTCTTTGGTAGTTAATCCCAAATCACGTTAGGGAACTCACTGCCTTAGACACCCCTGGGCTCCGGGCAGCCTAACCACGGAAGTAACACACTTCTATGACTTTTGCTCCTTACTTTCAATTGAACCTAGGCAGAAAGACAAAAGGCAGGGCCCCCTTTACTTTAAAGACAGAGCTAAAAGTGTCCAAAGTCCAGAGAATCCCTATTGCCGGAAATCCTACCAGACAAAAAGCCCATCATGCATGGTTCCAGTCTCAGACGCAGAGAGTCTGTTCTCACTGTCTCCCTCTCTGGCCCCCTGTAAACTCTCTCAATTTGGAAGCCCTCCCAGATTTTTCACAGATGACTAGTAAATATTTAAGGCTTCCAAATATTTTAATGATTGGGGATTAGAGAAATTCAGTTTTAATGAAAGCGAAAACTCCCTCACGATAAAAAAAAAAAAAAAAGGAAAAGTCGGTGTAAAACCAAGGAAAAGTCAGTTTCTTAAATCCGTGAGAAGTTTTCACTGGCGACTTACAAGGAAAGGGGGTGTTCGTGTGGAACAGCCGTGCGCAGTTGGTGAGAAGGGTGGCGGTTGGGGGGGGTCTCAATCCAGTGACCCCCCTGGCCGTTGCTTTCATGCTCCATTCCCTTTGCGGTCAGCACACCCACAACTCATTTTCGACTGCATCTAATGCGCTGTCAAGACCTTCATCTCCCAAGCCATTGCCAAGTCCTTTTAGTTTAAAGTCGGGAGCCCCCTCCCCTAAAGGGGACATCTTACTGGACCAGATTGCTCAAAGGGTGGCACTTGAGGGAAAGGTCGAAGAATTTAGACACTCCTGGGCTCGGGGCTGCCTAACCGTGGAAGGAACTCACACTAAGTAATTGCCGTTTAGCCTTGGTCCTCCCAGATTCCTGTCTGTCAACCCTAGCGCTTACCTGGACCCGAACCTCGGGTAGGTTAACCTTGCCGGCCAGTTCCTCGCGGCTGTACACGTCCGGGTAGTGGGATTTCTCGAAGGCGCGCTCCAGCTCGTGCAGTTGGTACGTGGTGAACGTTGTGCGGTTACGGCGGTGCTTCTTCTTGGGAGGTTCCTCCTCTGGAAGCTTCGAGTCGCCTGCTGCTGGCCCAACCGGCAGCCCTGGGCTTGGCCGTGCCTCTCGCTGTTCCTTGGGGTAGCAGGGGCGAGAAGCTGGGACAACGAGGCCCCAGGGGGTCAGTGACACTGGTCCTGGAGGCACAGTCGCTTCCCTGCGGCCCTAGGCTTCCCAGTGGCGCCTGAACTAGCCTGAGGAGGTCCTTGATGGAAGCTATGTGGGATCCCTAAAAATTTCTCTGATCTCAAGTCGGGCAGACCCCAAACCCGCTGGCCTACAGAAAGGTCAAGGAAGGGGAGCTCTTGTTTTGCAGAGCGCTCCAAGGGTTTCACGGCGGTGTTGTGCACTCACCTTCGTACTCCGGGACCAGCCCGGGGGCTGGCGGCGGGGAAGACTCAGAGCCTCCGGCTGGCGCCTTGGGGCAGGCGGGCCGCGCGCTCAGCCTGGGATCCCGCTCCTTGGCGCCCCTGGAACCCCTCTCTGCAGGAAATGGGTCTAGGATCCCGTCGTCCTTGGTAAAGCCCAGGATGGCCTCGATGCTGTGCAAGCGCGAGGTACTCCCGCCCGGGCTACGGAGCAGGTGGCCAGCGAGAGAGAAGCTCCCGTCGGCCATGGCTGGCGCGCAGCCGGGCAGGTGCATGGGGAGGTGGGTGTGCACTTTGCAGACTGAAGCTCGGTGCCCGTGTTTTCCAAGGGTGCACTTCTAGAACGTGCGCAACCGGACGGGTCCGACCAAAGCCAAGCTCGGCGGGCACCCGGCTTGGGTAACCGCTCTGGAGATGGGCAAGCGCTGGGCCAGAAGTCAATCGGACCGCTGCAGCAGCTGGAAGTTTGGCCTCGGGGTAAAGTGGAGCTCTGGTGCAAAAGACCAGCAGCGCGCTGGTCTGGGACTCCTCCTCCTCCTCTCCAGACCCAGCCCTTTCTCTCGGCCCCTCCCTCTACAGAGGGCCGGTCTTCCCCCTGATCAGCTTGGGGTCCTAGGCATGCCACCCAGGCCTGCACCCGGAAAGTCCCTCCATCTGATATCTTGATCTATTTCAACTCCACAAACATTTTCCAGGTACCAGGACTAGGAAGTGTGATAGGAGGGACATCTCTCCACCCCTGCCTGTCTCAGAGGGGCAGACTTCCCGGATTCACCTCTCCCCTCTCCCTCTAGCCTACATCCTCTCAGAGCCTTACACCCTGGGCTGCCGCCTCCGTGTGGCACTTGGACGCTCCTAGAGCAGCTGAAGGCTTTCCAGCTGTACCTGGGCGTTGGAAGTTAGTTCACAGGCCTCCCGGTCTGAATCTTCCCCTCATTTCTACATCTATGCTCCAGTGATTTGATGCCCCAGACTACAGGCATCTTTGGTCTGCGTCTGTTTTGATTTCTTTCTGTACCCTCGGATCAGCTCCTTCATCCTAGCGTGAACCACAAATGGTAGTGGGACACTCTGTGCCCACAGAACCAATGACCTCAAATATAGGAGATCCCAGGACCCGCAGAAGACACACAAACGTTCCTCTCATGAGCTCTCTTGAAAGGGCAGGGTCCTTAACTGAGTTACAGTGACGAGCCACCCTGGTCTTCTCCCACTTCCACAGGCCAAGCAGATGGCGCAAAGCTCGTGGGTTGGGACATTCGCTGGGGAGGAGAAGGTCCTAGCGCTTCCCCGAGGGTTAGTGCCCTAATCCGCTTGAGTTCCTTCCCCCTTGGGGGCCCCTTGAGGCTTGCCTGACCTAGAGTGACTCAAAGCCTCAGCAGAAAGATGATTCCTAGGGGCCTCATCGCTGATGGGCAACGGTAAACAATGCACCCCTCAAAGCTTCTGCAGAAGACCCAAAGACTCCCCTCTCTCAGGAACTGGGGATCTCCATGCCCCAGTTCCACCTTTCTAGTCTCTCAGGTCTCCACCAAGACAGATTTCTTTATCCCTACCTTTCTAGATCCTTCAACAGGGCCAGCGTCATCCTGAGCGAGGTCACACACGTCACACAAACCCCCATGGCCCCCCATGGCCAGATTCGAGTTTAATTCCAGGCTGCGAGGCAAGGCAAAGGAACCAGCAAGGGGAAATTACAACCTCCCTGAGGCTTTGCATGTAAGTGGCTAATTTCCCTAATGGTTCTCTTTCTAGTAAAGTTGTTTAAAAAAGATAAAGAAATATAGCACGCAAATTCGTCGTCAGTCAGTGGGTTCAAACTGAAGTTCTGGCTCAGCTCAGAAAGTTTGAATTTTAAGAAAAACCTGTTAGGACTGAAGATGTCACTCAGGGTAAAGCACTTGCCTAATAATGTTCAGCCCCTGGCACCTGTTAAAAAATTACAATACAAGCATAAGCTAAATTAATGAAAATAAATAGCGCTTTAGAGCTTTCAAACCCTGCACATTTTTTCCTGCAACGGGATCCTAGCCACCCTGTGAGAGAACAGGGTAGGTCTTCCTGAAGAGGAAATGATGCTCTAGATGAGACATCCATCCAACGGAGGATGGGCAGCTGATTCCTCATCCTGGAGTTTCTGGCTCTGTCTAGCTTGTGGTTATTATTGCAGTGTGAAGTTTTTAATTGAATCAAAGTGCCTCCTGGCTTGCAGCCCATCTTTCATCCCTTGCCAGTCCCTCCCTCCACCCCCCAAGAATCTTACATCTCTGAGGCTGAGGGGGGAAACCATTTAGTTCAGAAAGAAATGAGATCCCAACCCCTTGAGAATGGCCTTTGAGCCGCCAGTCCTGTGAGACTGGAGCCTTGGGGAGGTTCCTGATGCTGAGGCACTGACCCTGGAAATGGCCCAGTGGCACCCCAGAGGGTCTCCCTAGCTGGTTAGGCAGAGCAGGTGACTGAGGTACTGAGACAGAGGGCAGCTGCCCGAATAATTCATTGGTATACATTGCAGAGGGCAGTCGCCGAATAATTCATTGGTATACGTTCTTTCCCTTGGAGAGAATGCGTTTTCTGTAAACTTCCCCCTAGTAAATCTACCTCTCCAATAGCAGCAGAGCCAAGCTGCAGCTTTCCTCAACCTGCCCCCAAGCTGCCCAGCGGCTTCTTGACCCTCTTTCCAAAGTTAACTCCTGCTGGAACTACCCAGCTCTACACACAGCTCCAGGTGAGGTGAGCTTTTATTTACTGTTTATTAGGGTCTCTGGAAAAAGGCAGGAAGGATTTTAAAGGTCCTGATGAGGCCCGAGGGCTGGGGCCTGCCTTTGTGTGGGATATAAAGAACCATTCAGGACCATTGTGGGCACAGTGGAGGGTACTCCAAGCAATCAGCTGGGGGTCATTGTTGGGAGCTAATCTACATGTGTATTTCCCAAGAACTCGATTAGAGAAAATGAATGGACAGACATGTCCCTAATTCTCCTCGCTGGAGCTGTGTTTTCTTCCAACAGTTAAGCTAGTTCATAATCAGCTCCGCTTCAGCAGAAGCGGGGAGCCTGGCTTCTGAACTCCCCCTCTGTTCAATTCATTGATTCATTAGATGGATCAGAGAAAGCTCCCTCTTCCCAGCCTCCACCTGTGGCTGACTTAGTTACACTGCTTTATTCCTCTTGATGGTGTTCAGAGAGAGCATTGGTAGATGTGGGGAGAGGCATGTGCAGTCTGGTGCCAAGTGGATGCTGTTATCTTGGGTATATACGTACAGGGTCCACTTTCTGGAAGTACCCAACATGCACCGTGTCTTAGTTAGGGTTTCCATCGCTGTGACGAGACACCATGAGCATGGCAACTCTTATCAAGAAAAACATTTAATGGGGCCTGGCTTATAGTTCAGAGGGTTAGTCCATTGCCATCATGGCAGGGACATGGTGGTGGGCAGGCAGACGTGGTGCTGGAGAGGGAGCTGAGAGTTCTATATCTTGAGCCAAAGGCAACAGGAAGTGAACTGGGACACTGGGCACGGCTTGAGCATATATGAAACCTCAAAGCCCACCCCCACAGTAACACACTTTCTCCAACAAGGCTGTACCCACTCCAACAAAGCCGCACCTCCTAATAGTGCCTCTCCTTATGAGCTTGTGGGGGCCAATTACATTAAAACTACCACACACTGTTTCAGCCACCACACTCGAGAGAGATGGGCATCTGTAGAGGGGCTTCTCTAGCCTGGAACAGGGAATCAAGGCCATTCTGCCCCATCTATAGTAACTTTTTTTTCTCGGCACCATTATGTGTTTGAGTTAAAAAAAAATAGTCATAGAGTGTGTATAGCCAACTCAATCACCTACATGTAGATTAGCCCTTCAGTAGATGCATTTAATCCTAGAACATTCCAACCTCTGTCATATAATACCCAGGAAACACCTTTACTCACTACCTAATGCATGTTCAGGGAAAGCAACTTCACTGTAGCATTAGCCAAAGCAAGGTACAACTTAGGCTGTCATTACACCACACACACACACACACACACACACACACACACACACACACACACACAGAAAGAGAGAGAGAGAGAGAAGTTCAACAAATTCAATTAAAGAGCTAAAATATATATGATAAGAGCTTTTGTTTACTGAATACTACATATGCCCGCAGACATATGCCATATTCCTTTGAGCACTTTACACGGATTGACTTAGTCCTGACAATAACGCCATGGGGTAGTCACTTTTTTTTTGTAACTGCTTTTACAGAGAAGGAAGCAGAGTTACAGTTGCAGTCATTTGTTCAATGTCACAGAACTAATTCCTGGTGGAGCAGAAACTTGATCTCAGGTGTCTTATTCAGTTGTGAGTCTAGCACCCATGTGCACAACCTTCCAATGGGGTATGTGTCTATTTGTGGTAGCTAAGAAAACTAGTCATATGGTCATTTGAGTGAGAAAGGCTTTCCATACGCTCATATAATATATTTGAATATTTGATCCCTGGTTGGTGGAATTGTTTTAAAAGGATTAGGAGGAGCCGGGCGGTGGTGGCGCACGCCTTGAATCCCAGCACTCGGGAGGCAGAGCCAGGCGGATCTCTGTGAGTTCGAGGCCAGCCTGGGCTACCAAGTGAGTCCCAGGAAAGGCGCAAAGCTACACAG